TTTCTTCCTGTACAATAATGCGGCAGAGTAATTTTGAGGAAAAGCGCTATCGGCCACACCTCCGCCCCCCCCCCTTTCTTTCCATAGCCAACCGTGATTTTTCTCACGCCGGCTTTCGTGCGGCACATTTTTAATATGTGCGCACGTGTAGCGGCAAAACACGCCGAGCCTGCTAGATTACGGTGTCGCTATCATGCAGTCGCCACAGGCTGCACTTTTTACACGTTCTCTGGAAAATATCAAAAAGCTGATAGCGTGGAGAGTATTTAGGTCAACTTGCAGGTTGTACATTTTGTCTACGATCCAGATTCAAGCTTGTTTTAGCGGTAAATCGGGTGCGTAGCTTACGGATTCGATGTCAATACACTGCCAATATTTACGGCTAGCCCCAGAAAAATAGTTTCTTGTCAATTTTTCACAGTAAATTTGGTCGGATGCCACTTTAGAATTTTCCTACTATAATTTTCGTATTCAGTGCCCCAAATGACCCTGTTGTACAAAGTTTTGCTTTCATGTAGCCATCGATAATAAAAATGGATGTTTAGTAGGTTAAAGTCGCAAAAAACGCGTAACAACAAATTGCAAAATTGCGGGACCGTGAGCATAAAATTTCTTATAATACGCTTTTTGGGTCGCTGAAATGGAATCCATGGCCCATTCCGTCCGAAAATGCCTCGTTTTGAAGATACTGGCAATAATTCAACTTTATCAAAAAACGACTAATAAAAAATTATTAAAAACTTTTGCCCGTCTATGATCGATATGGAAGTTTGTTTTCTGGGTAAATCGGGTGCGTAGATTCCAAATTCGATGTCGATACAGTGCTAGAATTTACGGCTAGCTCGAAAAAATAGTTTCTTGTCAACTTTTCACCCTAAATCCAGTCTGATAACACTTTAGAATCTTTTCACTGTGATATTCATATTCAGCGCCTCAAATTACCTCATTGTGCAAAGCTTCGCTCTCATGTAGCCTTTGATAGTAAAAATGAATTTTTAACACCTTAAAGTCGTCAAAAACGCGTAGTTTTGCAAGTTTTCGCTAAATAATTAGATCTACATGATAAACGGCATCACATAAATGTAAAACGACCTCGGATCCGGTATTGGCAACCCAAAATACGTGGAATAAATGTTATTTGAACCGCATTTAAAGCATTTTAACATATAATTACCATGTATAGGGGTATTGTCGCCAAAAAGGCACAAAATGGGTTAGTCGGGAACGTGATCGCAACATGTCTTATAATACGCTTTTTGGGTCGCTGAAATCATATCATGACCCATTCCGTCCGAGACTGCCTCGTTTTCAAGATACAGGCAATAATTCAACTTTGTCAAAAAACGACTAGGATATTATGTTTCAAAATTGCATAAATGTCGCGCTGAAAAATATAGTAACTATCGTTGTTATATCGTCCGATAATGTAAAAACGTATCGATCAAAACCCCAGGAAGGCTGTAGATTAGGCTCAGCGAGGTAAATATACGCGACACCTGGCAAAGGGAATTGAAAGACCTTTAAAATAAGGTATCACTCGACCCCCCTTTCCATTTAAGATTTTGGGGGTGGTGTCACCCCCACTTAGGGGGCTGCACGTGTTAACGCGATTTTTTGCCAAACTTGTGTCCGCCTCGAAAACAAAATCGACGGGTCTGGGCGTTTTTCAAAAAAAAAACTGAGCTGCCAGTAAATGCGTCTGTTTCGTTTTCGATGCGCCACCCTGTATGTAATGTAACCATTCCCGAAGCAAAATCCAATATAATGAATAGTCCAAATAATTCCATCCGTTTGATTTTCCCGCAATGATGAAGCAACTTTCACGCTATTCATAACAAAATTTGTACCCGTCACCGTCGTTTGGCTTTCTGGCAATCCGCAATGGCACTGGCAATAGTATCAGGCACAGTTTGACACCATCATAGCTATTGTGCCGTGGATATGCCTACGGATCGATTTTCTATTCGGCAAGCTTTGCTTCTAATCGAGCTTCGGTAGCTGTTTAGCGAAACGATTTGGTTTGTATACTACATAAATTCTCATTCGTTAATGGAGATGTTGAAGGCCCTCTCGAAATTAGAGCTACCTCAAATGTTTTCCAATTTTCGACAAAACCAAATGTTCCGATATCCACATCTACAATGGATCCTCTAAATTACTGGTGTGTAGAAGAAACTAAAACAATACTGAAATGGAAATGTGAAGTACCTACAAATTCCCATTTAAAAATATTAATTTTTTATCAACTGTGTTATGTCTGCTGACAGCTTTCTTAAAAAGCCTCTAGCATTGCACAGCTAGCAGATTCAGACTTTTTCAACCATCTGGGATAGAATTTGCTTATTCCTGGCACTACTTCAAGCAAGATATACTAAGTGACATATAAATCCGAACACCCAGTTTAAATGGTTTTATTTTAATAAAATTTCAAAATGATTGCACTGCTTTAAAGCCCTTTGACCTTTAATAATGTGTGGATGCACCCTGATGTGCTACGCATTCTCCAACGCGCCTAGGCATGCTGCTGATCAGGTGGTCAATGTCCTCCTGTGGTATCTCATTCCAAGCAACCACCAACTCCTCTCGAAGTGCTTCTAGAGGCTGAGGAGAACGTTGCAAATTGAGCAATCTCCTGCCCATCATATCCCACACGTGCTCAATTGGGGATAAGTCGGGAGATCTTGGTGGCCATGGTAACAATGTGACATCATTATGTTGAAAGAAGTCTATTGTGCCTCTTGCAACATGTGGTCGGGCATTATCTTGTTGGAAAGTTGGATCTGCCAGGGTGTCAAGATAGGGTAAAAGATGAAGTTCTAGAACTTCGTGGATATAACGCTGCGCGTTCATGTTACCTCTGATGAAGATTAAAGGTGACCTGGAACCATAAGCTATAGCACCCCAAACCATAACTCCAACAGTGTGATGAATATGTCTTTCAACAAAAAACTGTGGATTCCTCCTTTCACCACGTCGCCTTCTTACCCTGGCACGACCATCGTGCATGCCTAAACAAAATCGAGACTCGTCACTAAAGACAATACTGTTCCATTCCTGATCCCAGAGTGACCGTTGTCTGCACCACTCAAGGCGATTACGTCGGTGTTCTCGAGTTAAAGGGAGGACCCAGTGTGGCCGGTATGAAAACAAGCCAAAACTTCTCATTCGTCGGTAAACACTTCGCATGCCAATAGGTCTTCCGTGTTCTGCAAACCATTCATTTGCAATGGACCTGGTAGTGGAGAAACGGTCCCTTAAAGCCAATAATCTTAGGCGGCGATCTTCACGGTCTGTTGTTCTACGGCGGCGTCCAGTGCCCCTTGCTCTTTGCGTACGGCCTTCTCGAAGCCATGTCTGACAACACCTAACCACAGTGTCTACACTTCTTTGCACTCTAACTCCAATTGCCCGAAAAGAAAGTCCAGCTTCCCGAAGTCCCACTATACGGCCCCTATCAAACTCACTAAGTTGACGAAATCGTACAGGTCTCCGTACTCTAGGCATCGTAACCGATCGCAAAAGGATGTCAAGAACCAAAATCCGCCAACGTTGATTCTTTACTGCGGCTGAAATATTCATTTTTAGAGCGTTAGTGAATTAAAAAAAAGCAGTTTAAAAACTGGGTGTTCGGATTTATATGTCACTTAGTATGTTTATCTTGTTCGATAAAGACTGCCGCGTCTAGATTTTAAACTACGCAAAGACGTTTTACCTCAAGGTCAGAATCGTCCAGTTTTCTTCTTCTTCAGTTCATTTTCCGCTTGGCTTTCGTCTGCGATACTAAAAAACCGTTCTCGCGAAAGGGTTGTCTAGGTTTGTATTATTTATTGAAAACTTTATGAACTCGTGAAATTAAAAAACAAGAGTATGCTGTTTGAGATTGTTAGAAAAGGCGTATATCTACTAGCTACATCTACTATATGAGCAACAGTTTACGTGGAGTATTTATATCTCAAAAACATCCATCTTAAAAAAAGAAATACAAAAAAATAAATTATTCTTGTGTAAAACAGGTTATTCGCGAACTAGTTCCTAAAACTAGTTCGGTTTAATGAGCGCGACCTATTGAACTAGTTCGCCGAAGTTACTAGATTTATTTAGCGCCATCTACGAGGCAGTAGCGAAATTCAAAAGTGAACTTAGTAACTCGCATTAAAAGGAGTGACAGGCATCCTTGTTGGGATCGGTGGTGGGGGGCCGTCAAACACGACGGTGTTGCCAGATTTTCGTGGGGAACCCTATTTGTGAAACAACCCTCGTATTTACGATTTTTACTAGTAAATGATTATTGTCGTTAACCTTTTTAATCCTGTACTTTCACAAAGTTATCAGTATATCAAAAAGTTTACACGATAGTCGCGAGAATGCCATCTTTAATTGTTGACGTACGAAGAATAAAAGTTGTTTATTACGATTGAAAACCGAACCGGAAACAAATGTTCAGAATGCACCTAAAGAAAAAGACAATTTCCTTCACAATGCACCATTATATTCTTGCTGCGTTTGAGTTGAAAGGTGTTATGACCATTCGGTAGAACGACTGTCAGCATTAAACGATTGTTGCGTGTACGACAATAAACAAAGAAAATTACTCATTTGCTTCTACGAAGTGAAAAAACAGACGGTATACAAATGCGGATAATTGTTGTATTACGTGAACGTGCGGTAATTCTGTCGGTTCACGCCAATTTTTGTAAACTTTGACTCATTATTGTTTCATTATTTATTGTTTGTTAGCCTTTTCTTTTTCTATCAAATTGAAAATGAGCGTCAATCCTTAGTCTGTTTGCAACTTGGGAAGTAGCCCTCGGATTCTAATGAAATTTTCACACAAGTTACGAGAAATATTTGTAGTTTTTGAAGACCTTGTGGCGGAGCTAGGAGCAAAAGAAAATAAAAAAAATTAGTCATGTTTCACATATCATAGAGTTCCCCGTACACGTGTTCTTGAACTAGAACGATCTGCGTCGTGGTCAGACCGAGTGACGAGGATAGTCATAGCGACGTTGCCAGATGCCAGTCTCCTTAGGACGGGGAAAAATACATATTGACAAATATTGATGATTCTCGTGTACATTATTAAAAACTCAATGATTTTCTTTTGTTCTAGGTTACCAGCTTGCTACTAGAAGCTGAAAGGCGCAAGCTGAATGTGCTCCAAAAGGAACTACAAGAAGCGTTGGAAGAAGGCGGATCTATCAAGGCCAAGGAACACCAAAAGCAAGAGTTGCTAGCTGCCATAGCGTAAGAAACTTTTTTTTTACTTTTTTCGATATATTTGTATGTACACGATGTTGGAATTCTCGTTTATAGTTCTTGTGATAGCGGGTAATTTCTCTTAGGCCCGTATCGTCAGTCGTCCCTACAATTGTAGGGCGGCTTTATGGCCTCCTTGATTGTCATAGTTTTCTACTTCTCCGTGTCAGCGCTCTATTTTGAGGTTATGTCACAAACATCTATTTGCATCAAATTGTGCTTGCTTTTGAGTTATATCATGTTTTATCAGCCTGAAATTTCCTACAATTTAAAAAGAAAACATGTCTTCACAATAGGAGAACGCTGACTTTGACACGGGACAGGTGTAATCTAGAAATTTTTTAAGGAGAGAAAAGAGTATGACAATCAAGGAGGCCATAAACGCGCCCTACAATTGTAGGGACGACTGACGATACGGGCCTTAGTAACCCGTACACCAAAATCTTATTTCGTTGTCATGTAGGTAAATCAAACTGTTTGTTTATAAATCAGTTTTGACTGTGCCCCCCAAGGAATTCGGTTGCCCCTCTCCCTCTGAGAAAATTTGCTACCCCCGCTACACTTTCTTTTGCCGTTGATCGGTCCTACCTGATAAAAATTCCTGCTAGTGTCCATTGATAATGGTTTTAATAGCGGTGACAATTCTGTGCCCAGCAAGCTTAGTGAGAGAAATCTAGCTTCGTGGAGGAATGCAGTATTTAGTTTCGACTTCTCAGGTTAATGCTGAAAAAACTATAATTTATTAACAAACTTCTGCCTCGCACCTTAATCCTGAATGGGTACTTGTACGTAAATCTAGGTTCTTATATAAATATGACGATTATTTTTAATTGTCGACAGACGTGGCGCGGTCGGTCCAAAAGTGGTATAATTATTGCCGAGATTATTGCTTCACGCGTTATTTACTTAGTTGTTAAACTCGTTAACCGTAGCAAAATTACTTGCAATAAATTAATAGGTTGATTCCAGCTAGAAGCTCAAGATTAGTTTTGCATGTATGTATATAGAATTTTGTTATAAAATTCTGAAAATCGTTTTTTGTATTTTTATCATATCAACTTGGCACCCTGCAGGAATTTTTCTCAGGAGGGAGTGGCGATCATCTGCAAAGTGCACCTGTCCCCAAAACTTTCAGAAACGCGAAAAGACAAAAAGGAATTGAAAAATCGTCAAAAGCGATCTGCATGCACTCGCGAACCCTCGGTAACATTTCGAAGAGTCTCTGCAGCGCAACTATGCACCGACAACGATGGCAAACAGTTGAACAGACATCAATAGCTTGTACTCCAAATCGCTGGAAAATCAAATAGCTTCTTTTTACGACTGCGCATGTGTTTTAAGAAAAAGAAGATTATGCTATTTCAGGTTATGCGTTTGTTTCTGCATCAGAATGTCATTACATGGCACGCTAGATTTTATTATTGCGCTCTTTGTTACGAAATAGCAGCTATAATATTACACTCGGTGATTTCAATGCCCATAATGAGCTTTGGTTGGGCTCAAATAAGACCGATGCAGCAGGTCGTGCAGTGGAAGCGTTCGCTCTTACTCAAGGGCTGACCCAGCTGGTGACGAGCCCTACTTTTTTCCCCCGCGTCTCGTCACACGCCAGTAGCCTGCTGGATCTCTTTCTGACCACGCATCCTGCCCCTTACAGCACTGCCGTCCTGTCCCCCCTGGGTAACTCAGATCACGGTGTTGTGGAGGTTAGGTTTCGGTCAGAAGCCGCTGTGGCCGCAGAAACTCGCACAGGCCGCAAAACTTGGCATTACGGACATGCCGACTGGGAGGGGCTCAGAGACTTCTTCTCTAGCTTTCCTTGGAGAGATGTCTGTTTCACTGACGCGGATGCGTCGACTGTCTGTTCTTCAATAACCGAAATTATCCACGTCGGAATGGAGGAATACATCCCTCACACAGTGAAAGTTCCTAAACCAGGGTCCAACGGCTGGTTCAACAAATCGTGTGACACTGCTCGCCAGCAGAAGATCAAGGCCCACAGAACCTACTTACAAAACCCCACTGTAGAGAACAGACAAGCCGACGTCGAGTCCAGAAACAAATATAACGAAGCGGTTCGCAATGCCAAAACCCAGCAAGATATAAAAGTTAGGCACAGGGTAATGTCGCAGCGCAATGGCAGTCGGTCTTTCTGGACGCTGGCCAAGCAAATTGAAAAGAACTTCTCACACAGTAGCCTTCCACCACTTACGTGTCAGGATGGAACTATTGTATTCGACTCAAAGGCCAAGGCGGAAGTGCTAGCGAAGATCTTTGCTGCCAACTCCACCATGGACGTCCCCACCAACGCCCAAGTGCCGTCAATTCAAAGGGTTCCCCACACTATGCGGGAGGTAACATTCAGGCATAAGACCGTAAGACGAGTGCTCTTGTCGCTCGACATCAACAAAGCTTCTGGTCCGGACTTGATTCCTGCCATTGTACTGAAGAGATGTGCAGCTGAACTTGCTCCAGTTCTTTCGCGTCTCTTCCAGATATCTTATGAATCCGGCACCTTCCCAGAAAACTGGAAATTTGCTCATGTACAGCCCATCCCAAAAAAGGATCTAAAACCGACCCTTACAACTACAGGCCTATAGCTCTGCTTTCTGTTATCAGTAAAGTGATGGAGAGGTGCATAAATCGCGAGCTTCTGGACTACCTCGAACGTCACAGCTTGATTAGCGACAGGCAGTACGGTTTCCGGCACCAACGATCCACAGGGGACCTCCTAGCTTACGTCACGCAACTGTGGAGTAAACTCATCCAGTCTCATGGTGAGGCTCATGTCGTTGCTCTTGACATCACGAAAGCGTTCGATCAGCTGTGGCACGCTGCCCTCTTGAGCAAACTTCCATCCTACGGCCTCCCAGAAAAGCTTTGCAGATGGGTGGCTGACTTTATCTCTGGCCGCAAGATATCCGTCGTAATTGACGGATTCTCCTCTTCATCCCACAACGTCAACGCGGGTGTTCCCCAGGGATCGGTCTTGGCTCCAACACTGTTTCTCTTACATATCAACGACCTCCTTTCCTGCACGATCAACCCAATCCACAGCTTCGCTGATGACAGCACTCTAAATGCAGGAATTCAGAGTGACAAGCCGATCTCTGCCGCTGAGCTGGAAAAAAGAAGACTAGCGACGACTTCTTCTCTGACAAGAGACCTGGAGGCTATCACTGCTTGGGGACGCAACAATCTTGTACAGTTCAATGCTTCCAAAACACAGTACTGTACTTTGACGAACAAAAAGCGTCCTAGCGCTCATACAGTTTCGATGGACGGTCGAGTTCTACCAAAGAGCCATTCATTTCGGCTGGTCGGAGTCCAGATCACCGAGGACCTGATCTGGCACGAACACATCTCTTCAATAGCTGCAGCTGCTGGGAAAAAGCTAGGCTATTTGTTTAGGGCTAAGAAGTACTTTTCTCCGCATGACCTTCTCACTCTATACAAGGCCCAGATAAGGCCTAGCCTCGAGTATTGCTCACACATTTGGGGTGCTGCCGCCCCGACTACATTATCCATGCTCGATGCTGTCCAGAGGAGGGCGGTCCGACTGATCGATGACTCTTCTCTAACAGACAGTCTCGGGACTCTTTCGCACCGGCGGGCCGTCGGCGATCTAGCTCTTTTCTATCGCTACACCAACGGGCTTTGCTCCTCAGAGCTCTCTTCCATGATGCCGCCGCGCGATGTGCCTGCCAGACAGACCCGCCTGACTTCGGCGTCCCATCCTAACCGTGTCAAACTTCGTACATCCAGAACTGGCCGATACGACCGCTCCTTTGTCCCGAGGGTGTCTAGATTGTGGAACAAACTACGGGAGGAAGCTTTACCCAGTTCTACTAACCTTAGGCAGTTCAAAAATCGTATTAACAAAATTTCTTTGGGATCATCATAGCAGCCGCGGTGTTCCGGCATTTAGGCTTCTGCCTGCGCGGCTGTTTCGATATAAAAAAAAAAAAAAAACAATTATGTAACACACTTTTACACCCTTAAAAGATCTAAATAAGACAGGTGGGCAAGAAGCACAGCATTTCCCGAATTCTCCATATTTCAAAACCAATTGAGTTATATCACGAGGTGTAATCGAAGTATGTCTTTTTTCATAAATTCACGACCTCTAACAGTTATAAAAGGCGTAAAAATAAATTTCCGAGTAAAATATTTTGAAATCGTATCATATTGATATATTTTAAACAACTATTCATAGCTTGATTTTTTTCATCCAGTGGCAGTAGTAGTAGTAGCAAAAACGTCCGATGAGCCGGCAACACCGCAATCCAGGTGACAACACATGTCTAGCATGGGGAGCCATTTCGACGTCAAGGCTTCAATTTTCCAATTATCAGTGTTGTGCAACGATTTCGGGAAAAAATTCGCTACGGATAGTCTTGTAGAGCCTAGTAGAGACTTAGAGTTTTTTCCGTATGACGTATAACGTATTTCTTTTGATGAATTGTTTCACGATGAATTCCAGGCACTAGCACCTATACTATTTTCTTTTAAGTCCGTGAAAGGCAATGGCCTCGCCATCTATCGACTGGCCGTGTAAGCTTTTTTTATTCGTTTCAGGCGGATTCAGCTGCAGTACGAGCATCTAGAGAAGGAATACCAAGACAACGCTCTCGGCGCATTGATTTCTGCCAACACTAGGGCATCGGGAAAGGTGAGTTCGTTTAATAATCGCTAGGTGGCGGCAGTGATTTAGTTTGGAATTTATTGCTTCGCATAGAGGATGATTCGTTTAATCACATTGTTAGAGTTATTCAATTTCATCGAAGATTAGAATTTACAAACGAGTGAAAAATCACCAAATTAGTCGGTTTTGATTTACGCTGTTACTGTTACTATTAACTCATTTAGTTTGCCAGAGTCGGAGTAGCCATAAACGTCAATATGTATATTGCTAATTTACAGATGTCTTCTTAAAAACTGGAAGAGCTGACAGTTCCATCTACATCCATGTAGTGCTACCTGCGGTTCTTTCAGGAAATTAATTCATGTTTGATTTCGATCATACCAACCGTTTTTAATAAGAAAAAATATCCGTGGTTTTTCAGGTCATTGATGACGCATCTGTTATAAATTTTCAAAATGGGGAAACCAGTATTCGGAAACGGTTCTAAAATAATGAGTCTGTTTTACTCCAAAACGCCAGAACGGTTCATATCGAAATCCCCTCCAGAACATGAACTTTTCCATTTCAAAGTCATTTTGTTAACCGACATGAATTAATTTTCAAAAAATTCCATACTTTGTTTTCATGCTTAGGTTTCTTAAATCTCCGATATTTTTAACGTCTGTTATAAGTATAAAAAATAACCGCGAGATACCCCGAATGAGAACGATGAATCAACAAAAATCCTTCCAGCTAGACCCTCATAAGCCCTATCCATTTTTCGCTGCAATCATAGCAACCCTTTAAAGAAACACACAACGCCGCGTTCTGATTAACGTCGATTCAATCTTTTGTGCTCGCACCCCCGAATCTCAACCCCCGGTGGTAATTCTCGAATAGGGGCTAACGAACATACGCGTTTTCGCCGTCATTGTTCCTTTGAAATCGAGCGGTGTTAGACTGAATGGAGTGCAGTGCAGCTTTGTGGATTAAGCTCAGCGTTGTCTGCCATTTTGTAAGGGTCATACGACAGGCATTAGCTTCATTCTTGTGAAATAGCAATAAAAAATATTCAAAAAGGAAACTTGAGAATAATATACGAATTTGTAGGGCAAAATTTCCATTATCATTTTCCGTCAAAAAATCAGGAAGTGTCACTGGGTTTAAGGTACTGAATTAATCTTTCCTACCAATAAAATAATGTCGAATGTATGATTCACCCGGAACTTGAGGCCCTAAACATTTATTCCTACCAATGATAACAAAAAAAAAAAAACTTGAAATTTCTTTTATGTAATTAAAAATCTTCTGGATATTAAACGTATCAAAAACAATATGTTAGTTTTACTTGAAATCAGTTGTGATGATTGTTTATAATTATAGCATATGTTATAAACCGTTAAAATGCGTGAATTCATGAAATTATCAGGAATTTTATTCATCCCGTGGGAGGGTCAGACATGCGTACCGCCTGGATGCTGGTTGCCGAGTCCATACTAAGCTGTCTTCCCCCGTCGACGCACCAAAAGGGTCTCGAAACTCTTTTTACCTGCTCTTCCTTTCTAAACAACTTCGAAGCGATAAATGCAAAGGATGCAATGTCACTCGTGACTATAACTTTCTTATAATGACACCGTTTGCGATACTTTGGTATCTAGGTTTTTAGTATACAAATTTTGAGGTACGAAAACCTTGCGATTCAGCTCTGACAATGTTTGCGGTATAAAAAACTTGTGCCACCGGGTGCGTACGAACCCGTAACGTTTGTAAAAGAGATAGAAGTAAACCGGGCAAATGCCGTTTTTTCTAGCAAAAAAGGCTTGCAAAAAAGTAATTCTTTTGATAAGATCCGGCGTTAAGTGAGCATTCGCACTTGTTTCCCGGTCCTTGGCTATTCAGCTTCTGATGATCAGGCCTGGCCAGTCTCGGACAATTTCCTAAACAAACAGGCTACCTTGCCTTTTGTATACTCCTATTATCGTTCGATGTGTTGGGTTTGGCAGAAAGCTTACTTTTACGTTCATTTCGGCTGATCGGAGTCCAGGTCACTGAGGTCTTGATCTGGCCTGAACGTATTCCGTCAATATCTTCTGCTGCTGGGAAAAAGCTATGCTATTTGTTTAGGGCTAAGAAGTACTTTTCTCCGCATGACCTCCTCAGTCTATAGATAAGACCTAGCCTCGAGTATTGATCATACGTTTGGGGTGCTGGAACCCGACTACATTATTTATGTTCGATGCTCTCGAGAGGAGGACCGTTCGGTGGATCGATGTCTCTTCTCTAATAGAAGCTTTGGGGCCCTTTCGCATCGGCGGGCTGTCAGCGATCTAGCTCTCTTCTACCGCTACACATGGCTTTGCACCTAACGCTCCTTTCACATTACACGATTTCGCCCGTACGGGAAAAAATCGGACGGGCAATTTTTCCTGATCGACTGTTGAAGAGCACGAGGCCTTTCACATTGCACGATTACAACACGGCACGTTTTCTAAATACGTTGCAGCCGTCCAGTGAAACTAGAACCGTACGGCTACCGTATCGCCCTCTAGCTCAGTGGTCTACGTGACCAAATGCACGCTTTCGCACTAGACGGTTTCAGTCGTGCAACGATTAAAAATCGGGCGATTTTTTCCCGTACGAGCGAAATCTCCCGGGCAATTTTTCTCGATCGACTGTTGAAGAGCACGAGACCTTTCACATTGCACGATTACAACAAGGGCACGTTTTCTAAACGCGTTGCAGCCGTCCAGTGCCACTAGAACCGTACGGCTACCGTATCGCCCTCTAGCTCAGTGGTCTACGTGACCAAATGCACGCTTTCGCACTAGACGGTTTCAGTCGTGCAACGATTAAAAATCGGGCGATTTTTTCCCGTACGAGCGAAATCGCCCGGGCAATTTTTCTTGATCGACTGTTGAAGAGCACGAGACCTTTCACATTGCACGATTACAACACGGGCACGTTTTCTAAACGCGTTGCAGCCGTCCAGTGCCACTAGAACCGTACGGCTACCGTATCGCCCTCTAGCTCAGTGGTCTACGTGACCAAATGCACGCTTTCACACCAGACGGTTTCAGTCGTGCAACGATTAAAAATCGGGCGATTTTTTTCCGTACGAGCGAAATCGTGTAAAGTGAAAGGAGCGTAAGAGCTCACCGTGCGATGAACTTACCGTCTCCTGTTTGGCGTTTCTGGCTCGCCCAATATCCATCCCGGCGGCGTCCGCGACCGACCCAAGCAGCATCAATTCAACCTGTTTGCGCTACCATCCACCCCGTATCGAACCGACTGCGTCGCGCCGACGCCGCCAAACAGGGAGCGCACCCCTTTGTCCCCCGTCCTTACCCCCGACCCCCTCCTGATGCCAAAACGTGGTGTCTGCCAGCGCGAACGTACGTGTGTCCGTGAGTGCGTGTCAAAGTAGGCCGTGCACGCGCCATTCCGATGCCTACGAACCAAACATGGCGACGTAAACACGAGCAAGATGCAGGAGTCCCGGCCTAAGATCGCCCCTAAGCCTGTGATCGCATCCAAACCGAGATTCGTGCCGCCGGTCAGGCTTCAGAGTCGCGGAGATGGCTACCCCCAGCTACCCAGGAGACAGTTGCCTCAAAGGCCTGTACCACAGACCGAGAAAAAAGTCGCGGAACCTCCAAAGCAGTCTCAAAGTGTAGACCCGCCTGCTGGCGTTGATACCAACGTCAAGTACGATCAGCAGTCTTCGACGTACGTCAGTGAGAAATGTGATAAATTTAGTTCTAAGTTTGAGGCGTACAAGAAAGAAGTTGTGCTTCAAAAAACACCTCAATCCCCGAGCACCGTCTGTTGTAGCATCCTGTCGAACGCGACCACAGAATGTTGCGGGATGATCAACGTAAACAACAAAGCGTTCGCCGGGAAGAGCATAACGAAAATAGACTCGCTGGATTCGAATTCCTCGGATTCGGGTGGCTTCAAAGACTTTGTACAGTTAGATTTAAACAAACCGCCTTCCCCCGAGCCCGAGAAACCTCCAAATCACCGACGCAAAGCCTCTCAACCGGATTTCTTCGACAGCAAACTCTACAGCCACCAGAGGAAAGCTTCCCAACCTGAGGTGAGGCACACGTTCAAACATCAACAGCTTAAAGCGAACGCTCAAGCTTTAGAGCAGTTCTTACCTCAGAAAGAGCAAAAACTACTGCACGAGGAAGAGTTCAGACAGCAAATGTCGAAGCTGTCCGTAAACCAAAAGACTGAAGATCAACCGAGACCAATGAAGAAACCGATCCTAGCTCAAGGTCAATTTCAACAGTCAACGAAAAAACTCGAGGAGCTCCTAGCTCAAAGACTGGAAAAGGAGAAAGCCGTAAAGAAGGGGCAAAGTTGTGTCGTGGACGGTGAGAGCAGCGGGGATACAGAGCAGAAGATGATCGTTCAAAGACAGATCCATCAGAAGTTGCACGCCGATTTGCAGCAGACTGTCAAGCAGATCCAGGAGATACAGAGTATTGAGTTGAGGTTGCCGCAGAATAGGAAGTGGAATGAGGTACGGCATCCGATCAAGCATACTATCTTTCTTTATATACGAGGGCATACTAGTGTAAAAAGCATTTATTCGTTATCGTTAAACGTTTTGCTATTCTGGTCGATGCATTTTTGTATTAGCTGTAGCAATTTTTATATGCCCATGTTTGTCAGTTCGCTGCACAAACATTGAAGCTTATTTTCACCAACACACGTCCATACCGCGTGTCACCTCTCAAACGATCGATCTTCTGCAACAATTTGGATCGAAGATCAGATTGAGCCACCCTACAGGCCGGACCTGGCACCCTGTGACTGCCACTTGTTGCCTAAATTGAAAGAATATCATTTGACATGCGATTTGGTTTGACGACGAGGCGAATGATGATGTTCAATGCTTCTTCGAGGATTTGGCGGCGAGCTGGTAAGGCATGGGCTTACAAAGACTGTCACAGCTTACAAATACGTCGTGTAGAATGGCGATTATGCAAAATATTTTTTGTTTAAGCTTTATAAGAATGCTTTTTGTATTTTAGAAAAATACACATTACTTTTGGGGTTTCTCTCGTAGACTACTAATCAGAACAATTGTTTTTACCGACATTTACTGTTCATTGGTTTTTCAAATTTAATGCAAGAATACCTGAAATTAATTTCGATATTAAAGTCGTTTTTCTACGTTATTAGAGGAACCATATTTGCTAGGGGGAGGTGAATAAAAGTGTCTAAACATCTGAAAAATAATGTTTGATTAAGTGACCTGAAAATATATATTCTGTGGCTCTAGGGGTCGCTAATTAAGAATCTTAGTGACACTATACTGAAACAAGGCCGTTTTTCTCATCGATGTTAAAAAAGAGTCCTATTTTTTCTGCGAAAGTATCAGGGTTTCCAAAAATATTCTTAACATAGTCACATATTACAGATACGAAAGCCAGCGTCGGTCTCTTTGATCTGGGTGTCTTCACGTATTTGATAACTGTCCTATCAGTTACCACGGGCGTTTGCGAATTTTTTTTTCAGGAGGGTCAATACAGCCATACGAATGTGCTCCTGAAGTTATTTGAAAAGCAAAAAAAAAAACAGCACCGACAGAAAATATCGTGGGAATGTGTGAGTCCCAAAACTTCTTAAAGAGCGAGAGATTTTCGCTGGGGCGTTATATAGGGTGATTTTTTAAGAGGTATAGGATTTGATTTTCAAAAAAAAAAACAAAAAAATTGAAAAAACGATTAAATCTTTATTTGAGTCGATAGAACGGTCGATATAATTTAATGTTTAAAGATTATTTCATGTAAATGTTGGCCGTGGCTCCGCTTTAGATGGCCCATGCGCAAGGTCCAATTTTGGCACACTCTCTCCAACATATCGGCCGGTATCTCACGATAAATGCTTCAATATTGGCTTCCAGTGCGTCAATCGTTGCTGGTTTATCCCTGTAGACATTAGCCTTAACATGGCCCCACAAGAAATAGTCCAACGGCGTTAAATCACACGATCTAGGCGGCCAATTGACGGGCCCCAAACGTGAAATAAACTGTTCACCGAACTCGCCTCTCAATGGGGTCATTGTTTCGTGTGCGGTGTGGCATGTGGCACCGTCTTGTTGAAACCACATGTCAGCCAAGTCCAGCTCTTCCATTTTGGGCAAAAAAAAGTTTGTTATCATCGCACGGTAGCGCTCGCCATTCACAGTTACGTTCCGGCCATTGTCGTCTTTGAAGAAGTACGGCCCGATGATGCCACCGGCCCAGAATCCACACCAAACAGTGATTTTTTCAGGATGCATTGGTAGCTCTTGCAATGCTTCTGGCTGGTCTTCACTCCAGATGCGGCAATTTTGCTTGTTAACGTACCCATTCAACCAGAAATGAGCTTCATCGCTGAACACAATTTTTCGATAAACATGTGGATCTTCCTCCAACTTTGCCAGCGCCCATTCACCAAAATGGAAATGTTGTGGGAGGTCGTGTGGCTTCAATTCTTGCACCAGCTGTATCTTATAAGGTTTTACATCCAAATCCTGTCGCAAAATTTCCCACGTAGTGAAGTAACAGAGGCCCAATTGCTGCGAACGGCGGCGAATCGACATTTTACGGTCATCACTAACACTGGCGGATACAGCCGCAATATTTTCTTCAGTCCTCACTCTACGTCTGCGTGTTGGTGGTTTAATGTCCAATAATGTAAACTGGGTTCGAAATTTGGTCACAAGCTTCCGAATAGCTCCCTCAGTAGGCCGACCAAATTGCCCATAGGAAGCAGTGATTCATGGTTAAATTATAGACCAAACTGAACAAGTTTGACAATGACACAAGACACGATTCACGCGTCATCTGTCAAAAACAGTGTTGCCAAAAAGATACTAGCAAAAAATCACCCATTATTAAATAATGCTAGCTTATTACTGATTAAGAGGAAAATACCTTCTGAAAGACACGGCGCACATGTTCTATTTGATTTACTTTTTTGAATTATTGTTAGAATGTGTCGGTGATGACATTGACGGAAATCCTCAACGTTCCCGATTTTTGACTGGTTTACATCATGGTGAGCCACCAACAAATTACTGCACTGGCAAAATTTCTTTAATTTGCACAGTCTCGCTCAGAAGTTACTTAAGAGAAATTTAATTTTTTAATAATTAATAGGGACCCGTATCTTTATAGGGGAGCTTCCTAAGAATTTTTTTGTAGTATGAAATTATTTTTTTGTGTTTTCTTCTCATCCTTGAGATTGCTGCTTTATTCTATTATAACCCTATATAGAATACCTTTGGTGGCTTTAACCAACACCAGTTTTTGAAAGAACCATTGCTTTTTTCCTAAGGCATTTAATTTCGCATCAATATTTTTGAGAAACTTTTGTCGACGTTCCATTTCTTTTTAAATAAATTGGAATAAATTTCGGTAACATTATAAAAACCTTAATCAGGACCTCCAATGGGGTAGAAATATCTCTTATCTTGGTACCTACTTTTTTATTTTTTTTCCATAACGAAGCAGCCCAAATACAGGGGCACCGCGACTGCCGAGGACGTTAAAGATTTTCCAGATGTTTGAACTACCCAAGGTTAAAACTAGGAAACCTCCTCAGGCAGACTGTTGTCAAAGGAGCGGTCGTACCGGCAAGCTCTGGCACGTCTGTCTGACAGGCTCATCGCGCGGCGTTGTCATGGAGGACTCTGTTGAGCAAAGTTCGTTGAAATAATGGTAGAAGAGAGCCAGATCTCCTGACTTTTGTTATTTTTCTATGCACTTTTAGCTCTAGCAATAATGTCATTGTTTTTTTAATCAACCTGTAATATTTGTGTTTCATTTCAGAGCAGTAGAAGTCAACCTGCCATTGGACTTAAACATACTCCAAAATCACGGGTAAGTCAGAAAACACAGAACATGTTACTATTTTTCCGTGAATTGTGCTGCTTGAAATATATCACATTTTTATATTACTTTCTTCCAGCAACGTTAGATAGGATGATTCTTGAGTTTTGAAATAATATGTCCTGCATGCACAGACACCAAAAATTATGGAATCGCATACTTGGATTCTTTATTATCAAAAATATACTCAAATATTTCATGGTTTGACACCATAACACAGAAACTACTCATCCCAATTTGTAGCCCGTTTCAAGACCTTTTTGTAATTGTATTGTAATAAGATGTGTATTTACAACACTCTGTATATGCCGAAATCGTTTGACGTCCACCGGAACGTTCAGACATAGCCGGTTCTGTTCCGTATTGCCGCGAAAATCGACCTTACGACGATCTGCCATAAGCCTCAGCTTTTGTGGGGGAAGCCTGTCCGGTTAGCACGTTGAGAATGCGGGAAGCTGGATATTGCGACGTTGCCACGTTTACGTTTATGGAATGTGGACGGGTATCGAACCACCAGGATTCATTAACCTACATCTAGGACATTAAGGGGGGCGTTCTACGCATCTCTCAATTTTTGATAGTATTTTATTCACCACTTTTGAGTTATATTTTTATACACTATTACATTATTTGAAATACAGTGCTTTTCTAAAAGGTTCCCTCCCGACTTATTCTCTGGACGGGTCACCGATCCGAAATTTGAGTGTTATATAATAATAATTGTTAGTTGGGCAACTAACAATTATCACTCCTATTAGAGTTGCAAGAATGATTATACAGTATTCTTTACACAGCATTGTATACTGTAAGAACATTGGCAAAACCCTCTTAGAACAGCTATACAAGCGGAATGGGCACACCTAATAGCACACTTCAGTCATTTAAGAGGTTGTATAAGGGGTGCAGGTAACAGTTATACAACAAAAGTGTAAGCCTCTTGCAGCCGCTATAGGATATTTGCGTCAGTGCAAGATTCAGTTTTTGTCAACTATACAACTATTATGTTACGTGATTCTACTTTATTGCACTACTATTTCTTATGTATTGTATAGACGAAGTGAAGAATATATGACTAACACATTACAGTCATCTTGTTTACTTACATATCGGCCATTGTGAATTTCATACACAGGTATATGATAAACTTCTACACTGTGATATAGGGCTATTGAATTACTTGCGCAGCAAATTTTATTGTGATTATCGTGCAAAGTAGTTACGCAATTTCTACGGGCTTCGTATTTGATTCATATTTTAATAATGATCAAAAGTATGTCTAGATTTTTAAGATGGAAAACTGACTTTATCTGCGTTAAATCTTCCACATATCCTATATTTAGACACAATTACACTAATGTTTATCACTTTATATCTATAATTTCGAACTGAAACATAATTATTTAATATTAAATAGAGAAATACATGTTTGCCCAATGTGGCGGGTGGTTGTGTATAATCATGTTGTCTTTACTTTATTAGAATATTTTGGTGTTGCCTGCAGGTGTTATACAACAATTTGCCAAATGTCTGAAATGAAATACCGACAGATTCGAATTATTTACCCAGAATTTGTACCAGATCTATATCTTCTGTTTGAACAGTTGATAAAACCTTTTGAACCCATATGCATGCGTTGTTTGTCTTAAAACATTGGCTATGGCATTTTAACAAAAAGATGACAGCAGAAAGTTAGGTTATGGTGAAATTGCATACCAGCATATTTAACAACAAATGTATGCCGAGCACAGCAATTCTGTACTACAAAAGTTGTAATATTGTTGCATATGTACAGCCTTCAACAGTTACTAAACATCAGTTGTATAAGTGCTTCCGTTAGGAGCAATTTGTTGGCTAAAGTAGTAAATTTGCACAGCAAAACAACAAGGCTCGGGTTTGTTTTATAAACGTTACAATAGTTGTATAAACGTTTATGCAACAGTTCAAAAATTTGTCCTATAAGGTGTTGTATAACTATGCTATAAGAATATTTTAAACACCTCATTTTAGAGCAAATATATTGCAGAAAGCAAATTTACATTCTACACAATATTAAGCCAGCATTTTGGTGTTCAGGCAACAACAATAGAGAGCTTTTATGGCTGAACGGTTCTTTTACCAAAAGCTACACTACTTTGCTAGTTGGGTATCTTATGATTTTTTATATGGCAATATTTATGGAATTGCCCCATTTTCATCTACGTTCATCGATCCAACACCCAATTTCCTACATCTGCAGCATTCCGAGCCAACGTGGCAACGTCGCACCGATGGCGGCTAGACCCCTTCCACAAAAATGACTCATTCCGTTCAGTGCGACCGACCGCGTACGTAAGATTGCACGTCGGCGCTCCGAACGTTCCGTGTGTTTGTAAACAACATATGAGAACAAATCGTATTGTTCATCGTTTTTCCCTCCGAGAATCTCACAGGACGATCGAGTTGCTCGTCAGAAACCCCCGAATCCGCTCGTTTCCATGGTTACCGTTTGTGTTTTCGTCGGCTTTTAACGGTCTTCGATCAGTGTGAGATGCTGTTGTGATTCGTTTTTGTTTTGTTTGTGTTTTGTTTATTCTGTGCGACCTTGAGAAGCTGCGGCACAGCTTTTGTGCAGGTAAGACGAGTTCGTACTGCTTTTCTATATACCTTACCTGAGATCGTGGAAGCGTAAAGCAAGTCACCTTGGTTCAAAAGCCGGAAACTTGAATGTGAATGGGTTAACGAGGTGTGATTTTTTTTTTGATAAATAGCGAGTCTTGGTTCTATGCTTCGGCAAGTAGGTATGAAAATATTTTGCTTCTGACAGAAGGTGAAGCTGCATCGATATGCAAATGCATCTTGCCTTGGGTATCTGTAATCATTGAGATTGTGTAATTATTAGCTTTATGTATTAAAGCAGGTGTTGAAGTGAATAGAGTCTTCAAGGTGTTATGCAAATAGTGTTTGTGCGAGAAGTTAAATCAACGAAGTGTTTTTAGGTGGTATGCAGTAAAAAGTAAAATAAGCTTTCATAATGCATTTGGCACACTTTAGATATGTTTCCTATTTGGGGAATGTGTATTTCATAAAGCACAAGGTTTTGCAAAATAGGATATTAAGAATTTTGTTCGACTAAGACACGGATAATCGGTAGGTATACTGAATTGAATACTATTGACCTAGAATTAGAAGAATGTGAAATTATTTTCACATAACAAAAGTGTAATAGAAAAATTCTGATCACACATGAGTATGAAACAAGACCACATAATAATATGTACCAGATTTCTACTAAATAACCCTGTCACTGATGCAGTAAAAACATTTAATGATCTACCAAATAGTGTAAAGAATGTGCATTTACTTAGAAACTATATAAAAACACTCAGAAGTCACTTCAATTTATTGTAGCTAAAATTCCCACTTGAAATATTGTTGTTCTCGAGGCCAGTGTTCTAAACACAGATTAGAAAACTTTATTTACTATAAAAATTGACTATTGAATAAAAATTTGTTTAAAAAAAAAATGTCTATTATCTGGTAACCAGTCAACATTCCTTGATTTGTTACTAAATTGTTCAGAATCCTGTCAGTTAAGAAAACGTCTCTAGAAACATGAGATTGTTGATATTTTCTATATGTATAGTCTGGTACCAAAGCGGAAGAGAGCAGGGGGAACCGTGTTTTATCGATTTTTTATTACTGCGAGAAATAATAAAAAAAGTGTTGAATCATGCTTTATGGCATATGAAGAAAGCTCGGTTGATTGCGACATTTGCAGATTTTTATTTCATGTTTTAATGAAAGTAGTCAGCATTCAGTGGAAATCATTTTAAACGTAAAATATAAAATAAACATACCAATGGCCTCATAATTGATTTCAATGAAATAGTTTGATGAATACTCTGATATTTAGATAAAACTGTAAAATCCACAACTCCACATAACCTCAAATGCACATTCTTTCACCGTATTTACGGTACAGTTAAGCACTCAAACCTATCACGTTAATGCCAAAAAGAACACTAGTCTGTCGTACCTCTAATAATTTTCGTATCTGTAATGAATTGGCTGCGTACACGTTTTGTCGGACCTCTATACACTTTCTGTGATAATGTCAATCGCATCACTAAATATTTGCTCGTGAAATAGCATTTGGATATTTTGTGGTCGCATTTTTAAAGTAAGTAAAAGAAACTAGAAAAGCCAAGTTCATCCATAAGTACGTTTCAACATTTTTGAGGTCCTGAAGTTTTTTGGGCTTAATATATTTTAAAACAACGCTATTTGATTGTCAATAATGCCGTTTAATAAATAGTAAATATTATTTACAGAACCTTCTAGAGATGCAAAGCACATATGTAATTATTGCCCTGTTCTTGCCCCAATTCTCATGTTTCCGATATTCTAACCCTTCACGTTTTCGTGTCATGAATGTCGAACGTATTCTAAAATATTCACGGCGTCAAGTACCCTTGAATACTGGAAAACAGTTTGAATTTTTAATAATTCCAGTCTGAAATTACGTCAAGGTCGATGGAACTATTTTCGTTACCATTACAGCTGCACCATATCACCAGTCTTTCTTCGGTACGTGAAAATGGAAACCTCAATAATTACACAGGCCGAGAAAAGTGAGCCGAATCTCTTACCCAAAAATCAGAGTATCCTTGATTCCCCGAATCCGAATCCGCATGTCCCAATTGGCTCTAGCACTAGAGATAGGAGGTTAGACGTTAGACTCATGGAGTGAGGGAGAAGCCAATAATATCGACGGACAAGTGAGCTGCGCAGGAAATGATTTTCTACTATTGCGCATTCGGCATCTCTCTCGTGTGTAGGCTGCGCAGAAAATAAATTTCAGGTTCTGCGCAAGTTGCATCTCTCTCTGTTGCTGTAATCGTGACTGTAAACAACTCTAATCTTGAAATTTTTGGAACAATGTGGCGTAGTGCAAATGCATTGTAAGGTTATTATTATGCATCAGATTTCTAAGATTAATGTCTAGTTACCAATTTACTATGGAGATAAATAGGCTCTTTAGTACTTACTATCTATTGATCTATTTTCAGCCATTTCAACTCGTTGATCTTAGAGGAAACATGTTCTATATTTGCGAAGACCATTCACAAACC